TCCGATTGTGGAGTTGAAGATAATCTCTTGTGGAAATATTTTCAGCTTCCCAATATCTTTTAGGCAGCCAAAATTCGTGGAATTTGAGGGTAGAGCTAGACAGTTTTTGCTCTTTCTTATTATTTCGTGTTGCACGCTGCGAATTTTACATTGTCACATCTTAAAGGAGTTCTCATGTTTTAAGGAAGAGAGAAGTAAAACCAACGTTTAGGTTTCCTGTTTTTATTCCTCATAATTCAGATTATTTTCTTGCGGATACACGTGCGTGCATTCTATAGATAGCTTTGCAACTTCAGAAACTTTTGGTGTTCTGTGGAATACACGAGAAAGAAGGAACACACTCTTCCTGTTCGACTTTGCTCTCCGAATTAAGGTTTCGAAGACAGACAATTTCTTTATGTATTTTCGAGACTCCTCTGAGAATGAAAATTGAATTATATATATATATACGGCGCCTGTGAGAAACTGATGAAACAAAATGTTTCTGATCTGTATTTTTCTCTGGCTTGATATTTAAAAGATTAAAAATTTGCAAGGATATAACAAATATATATATAGTAGTTATGTCAAACCGTCACAACAAATGTATACTAGCTTTTAATATTTACAATTAAACCACTATTTTGCTACATGTTTCGGTCACATAGGACCATCAGCAGGTAGTTAATATATGGAATACATCTAAACATTAAATTACTAATACGTATCCATACTAGTGCAACGTGTCATATTATATAACAGAAATTTTGCCTCAAGTTGGTAATATGTATTACAATTAAGTGTATAATATAATGTAACAAATAGTTGGCCCACCATTAAGTTCCAGTTCATTTTTCTTCGCTTTAAATCTTCTGGGTAATAACCTCATATTTCTGCTGTATTTCAAATGTCATTTCATTTTTAAATGTCTGAAAATTTGGTGGCGGTTACACAGTCCATCACTTGGGAATTGTTGTAGATAGAATCTGAAGTTACGTTGGCTTCTTTATATCACGTAATTGATTATGTCCTGACATTGCTTTGCCAAAGTACGGAGCTGAACACGCACTTTCGTCTGACACCAAGTTAAAGATATGCTCAGCTTTATCTCCATGTTTCCCGTATGCTTGAGCCTCGTGAAAATTTCACTGTGGGAACCGCCTTCATTATACAGTTTTAAGCGATGGAGGAATTATAAGTTTGTATATATTTGAAACAAATTTAGCAATTCCACATGTTACCTAGAGATGGATGGACTTAAGAAACCATCTTTAACTACTGTGATATACAAGCAGTTCCTCGCACAACAAAAATAAATAGACGAATTCGCTTCGATCTGTAATATTGATGAAAATAGTTACAGCCAATAAACCTGTTTTTCAGAATATGAGTATTATATTATAATATGAAGAACGTCATATTTGAGGCCAGTAGAACGTTCCGAGTACTATGTACCGATTGATGCTTATCGGGACATGCATCGGAGAAGTCTGATTATTTTAAAAGAAAATAGTGCTTCGTGGTAGTCCCGTGTTTATGACACAGCATATAGTTCTGTACTTCTTGAAATAAATATGGGCCAGTAGTTATCCGTAATGCTAATGGTCATGAAGACGTACGGGGAGGGGATGTAAAGATCTACATATTCTTAGCTTTCGGCACTAGTTGGAGAGGAGTGGCTAGCTTCATGCCCCGGCCGCATTTACCCCCAGGATAAGAGCCCAGTACTCTTTCGACAAGAGGCTGGGTAGGCACGAGTGCTGGCCTGGACGTCTTGGAGGGGAGAGAAAAATTGATCCTACCAGGACTCGATCTCCGACCACTTGGCAGTCCATCCCATAGCCAGCCGCTACACCGAATGGTTTACAGTGGAATTTTTGTGTAAAATTTTTCCCCTTCCTATCATCCAGACAAGGGCGGTGACGTTTCCCCCCGTCACATAAATTTCCAGCAGTAAGAGAATAAGCAGATTACTAAGGATTCGCTGGGGTCTTAAGTTGCCAGCGAGTTATGAATGGCACCTCATTCGACCTGTGGAACGCTTCAAACATTGTCTTTAGAATTCCGAGTTGTAATCCAGCTGAATAATCAATCTTTCCTGCTACTCCATAGTGACAGAATATTCAATACCCTCAAGGAAGCGTGGCATTCGCAAACTACACTCTCTTTGATTGTTTCATAAAAAGTAGTATCATATTCCACTCTTTACCTAATCTGAACTTACAGCAACATCAAAATTTGTAACAGGTTTTCTTCCTTATTTGGGTTTAGCAGGAGGTTAAAATTGCAAAATGCACTATTCAAACAATGAATTATATTAGTTTTAATTATTTTTACAGTCTCATGTGCAATATCATTTTCTGTAAAACTTATTGGAAGTTATTCAAAGTTTAAAAGTCCGTCAGTAATATTTCGGCCAATGTGACCATTATCAAACAATAAACAAAACAACCTCCGTGGCCTGCAGTCCGCAAGCGAACTATACTGACCGCCTCTGTGCTCTAGTGGTCAGAGTTCCTGGCAACAGATCCAGAATTCCCGGGTTAGATTCCCGACGCTATCAGATTTTCTGAGAAGTAGTGGGTCTGGAACGTGGTCCACGTAGCCTCGTGAGGATAATTGAGGAGCTATTTCAAGGATATAGCGGTTCCGGTCAGTAAAGCCGAAATTAACGATCCTTTGAGCTGACCACGTGACACCCTCGATCCGTAAAAGTTGACACTAACTTCGACGACAGGCGGCGGTCTCTCGGTCAGTGGTCATCATTAGGGTTAAAATTATTAGGAGACGAAAATGCTGTCTTCTGTTTTTGCTTTTGTGTAACAAGATGGTACAACAGAATATAATGAATTATATATTATTATATATAGTCTTATTCTCTGAAGGGAAATGGGATTTGTAGAGCAGTCATAGCTCCTGTGTTTGCACAATACATTATTTGATTGATGGGGTCACTAGAGTTCAAGTTCCGAGGATATTGCCCTCTCAGAATGCCAAGCGGAATCAGAAATACTCACATCAAATAAAACTGACATATTAATATATTTATGGCCCCAAAATGTAANATTTTTACCGAAGTCTCAGTGTAACAATGAGGTCTCTATGCACCATGGGACAGTGCAGAGGGGTAGAAATGTCTTTCCATCGCATAAAACACGAACTTAACCTTGGAAAAACAGGCCACAATATGTTTCAAACGGAATGTTATTTTACAGGATATTGAAGAGACTTTAAGATAAAACGAAACAAGTTTGTGGTGTGAGCGTACCTGAAGGGCATAGGAAGTTTATCTGTGTTCTATTCAGTGTACTATTGCAACCATTGCTTAATAAACTGTAGCGAAAAGGATGTCTTCGAAATCATTTCCTACTAACCACTTCAGTTACTTTTAGTCAACGAAATTTTCAGCGTTATTTTCAAGTCATTACACTAAGTCAATACCATTTGTTTTCCTATACCAAATATCACTCATGTCTTGTATGTTTCACACTATGTAGGATAATTAGACGCAGATGTAATTAAATATCCTGGAAACATCTATAAGCGTTCTTTTTTTTATTGCTAGTGGGGTGGGACTACGTCCCTTGTACTGCGGCCACTTCTGGCCTATTGTACCAGCCCCAGATGATAGGTGAGAATGATTGTGGAGCAATTGGAGGAATGAAGATTGGCAGGGGAAACCGAGATACTCGGAGAAACCCTGTCCCAGCGCCACTTTGTCCACCACAAATCCCAATTGACCAGACCCGGGATCGAACCCGGGCCGCCGCGGTGGGAAGCCAGCGACTAACCGCTTGAGCTATGGCGCGGCCTCTATAAGCGTAAGTATATATATGTATATACATAATTTTTCCGTTTTTAGGTTATGAATCGGCGTAGCCCACCCACTTATCAGGCTACACGGTGGCATATTGAGACGGCCACAATTTCGGTCTACAAGCTTATCTTGTGCAAACTTAAGCAGAACACTTTTCTCCTCTTTATCCTCCGGTCGCTGGTGGACTGCAGGGTTGTTTTGGGCCCTGTTTCCAAACAGAAGCCTCAGTATCATCAGATGTTACACAGCCTGCAGGCTTAACTGAATTACTTCATGATATATGTGAACGGCTGTCCGCTGGTATGTTTCTTCCAAATCTATGTACAGATGTAAAATTAATTGTTTTCTTGCTGAAGCAAATTATCAAATGAGATGTGCTGCTGTGTTAAAAAGGCGAAAGACAAATATATCCCTGTAACAGGCCTTGGAGGCCCATAGTATTGTGAGACGTCGAAGCTCCTTTATTTTCTAGGCCATCGGCCCACAGTTGGCGGTAATATTATCAGCCTTACTCACCTACAGCCCTTTACCCCCAAGAAGATTCCTGTTATTCAATTCTGTTCTGGGCTACAATGCGGCTGGAAGGGTTAGGTAAACAGAAAGGGAAAAGTGTCCCTCTGCTTCATGAATTAAGCACTACGTCATGAAGGCGTGTGAGAGATTGAATGTATAGACGCACATTTTCTTGATCTCTACACCACTTGGAGGTGAATGGTCAGCTTCACGCCCCGGCCGCATTACCCCCGGCAAGAAGCCCCAGGCACCCATTGGATAGGAGGCTGGGTTGGCCCCAGAGCCGGTCTGGATGGTATGGAGAAGTGAAAATTATTTCCCCCACCTGGACTCTAACTCCGACCCCTCGGTCTTCCAACTCTTAGCCAGTCGCTATACCGACTGAGCTATCCAACCTCTGGAAGAATTAACTCGATTGAAAAATCTAATGAACTTAGCAGGAGTCGGACCCGCAAACTTCCGGCTTGCAGAAAAATGCCTCAACCAAATGTGGTACTCGTGTTAACCGGTTTATATTTGGAACGTGTCAGAAGAGCGTACCCCGTCCATCTAGAATATCTACGCCAATCTTATACGCTACAGGCACAGTCAGCGACACTGTATAAAGATTAATATACCAGAAGACAGTAGTCTTCATAGTCCCGCTGTGAGAAACTCAGATCTTTTAATTGTTTTCTTTTTTCTGTTTCAGTTGTGAGCGCGGTGACTTCTTGAAACTTTTCCTCCATCTTGAACGGCCTGAAGTAAATGAATATACTCCTTGGTCAGGGCTGCTGTGTGGGGGGTTCACGGACATACCTCATGTGCTCTACAGTTCGGGCCCGGGGCTCGTGCTCGAGTTCCACACCGACCGCAAGACCAGCAACGCATCCGGGTTCCTCGGCCACTTTCGGTTCATTGACAGACGTGAGTACAAAGCATTCTCGAATTTCTGTCTGTGGAAATATTCCAACACTCATCTTCTTTTCAGGTGTTTCATATCTAAGCTTTCGGTATCTACTTCCTTAACCAGTGTTTTTTCTTAAATCTCGAGCAAGGAATTACAAAATAGACGTAGAAAGGCGTCATAAGAAAGTATTTTGACAATTATAGAGGCAATATACCCAGGTGAAATTCTAATAGAGGGATATATTTGATAAAATTTTCAAACGAGAGTCTTCATATGTTTTCAAGACAGGGTTGTGTGAAAAGTTATTAACCAGTTTCTTGGTTTTGTTTAGTTATTTTATTAGATTTGTTCTTTATAATAATATAAGCCAAGACAAATATACTTTTTAAGTTGACATATTTAATAACACTCAGATTAGTGATTTTATTCTTTTGCCACCTTGTGTCAAAATTTCTCTTTTCTTATTTTTGTAAAATAATAAGATTTGTATATGACTTACTGGTCTTTGTTTGATAGGGATATGGTTACAGAAAATATGAAACCTATATCAGGCCCGTTTTAAACGGTAAAACGCAACTGGATTTGATCGTTCTTTCAAAGTGACTAGGTTCAAGAGGCTGGCTTCAATCGTGGAAATTCGAAGTAAGGTGTAAAAATATAATTCTAAGGAGATACAGTGTAGTGTCGAAAGTTTTAATTTCAGGAGTCTCCAATATTCTTAAGAAATTTGAGTTATCCGCCATGATGGAGATTTAGAGGATGATTTTCTGGGATGATACACAGAGTTACCAACGTTTAGGGCGATCCTTCTGCTTCCTCAATATCTGATTTCCACCGAAGAAGACCCATGTTGTTCCGAAACTCCAGTAACCACCCATTGTAATACAGGAGAACATACTCTAAGCACTAGTATGTCTGAAATGTTAGTTGTGAATTTGAGTAAACAGAATTAATCTTCTTCAGTTTTGAAAATTTACACAAACGGAGAAATACGTTCTGCATATATTGTCGGTCACAAACTTTTATAAAACCAAGAATGAAAATGGTTCTTCGATTAATGCAGTGCTTGTCTGATTCCTAAGTGTAATTTCCTTTCTTTTTTTAATGCTAGTGGGGTGGGACTAAGTCCCTTGTACTGCGGCCACTTCTGGCCTATTGTACCAGCCCCAGAAGATAGGTGAGGGTGATTGTGGAGCAATTGGTGGAATGAAGATTGGCAGGGGAAACCGAAGTACTCGGAGAAAACCTGCCCCAGAGCCACTTTGTCCACCACAAATCCCACTTGACCAGACCCGGGATCGAACCCGGGCCGCCGCGGTGGGAAGCCATCGACTAACCGCTTGAGCTATGGCGCGGCCTATTCCTGAGTGTAAAGGACCATTCGACGTAAAATTCTCCGCTAAAACATCTAGGAATAGGCGCTCTTAATGAATGCTCAAGCAGAAATAATTTGTAGATGTACATACGTCGTTTTCCTTTGATGATTATCATTCACAATTATTTTCATTTTAATACAAAATTACAAAGCGTGAGGAGCATATATGGTATATGTGCTTTTATAATATTTGTTTTAGGTAGCTTCATTTATCCTCTATCCACTACAAATTTAATCAATTTCTTAATTTTACGTTGTTCTTTGTTGTCTTTGAATGTAAGTCTCGCGCAGTCTTGGAGTTCTTTATGAAGCAAATATCGCTCTATTTTTGACGATAAAATAACTTCATCCTCTGTAATACAGACACTTGAGATAATTTTCAGCCCCATAAGAGGCCTGTTGTAAGGAAAATAAAACATGGCAGTACTATTTGAATAAGAGCTAGTTATGAATACAAGGCACGAAAATAATAAGAGCCTTTGCTCGAGTTGTGGGCAAAGTCCTGTTAAGCGGGTTACAGCGGCCCTTCAGATTATACCCAAACCCCTCTCCCCGCTCTGCAGGTTTATTACCACACTGCCTAATCCAGGCTCACTAACATGTTGTTCCGTTCTTTTATTAAAACAAATCAATTATGTATTCCTTTACACGTTTACTTCCGTCCTTCATGCAACTTTGTTTACAATTTCTCTTCAGTTTAAAATAATGCCACGTGCAGGGAATGTGCGTCACATAAACAGGATCTGGGTTCGATAATTGGATTTATTGACACCTAATGAATCTCGAAACTAAGGTAATACAGTCTTATTGCATATCTAAAAAGTTTACAGTTCACCGTTACACACGCACTAGGTTTCTTAGTCTTCACGAGCCGTATCCTAGAAACGGATTGATAACAGTCTCACTGTCACTTGAAATCACACGTGAAGTCTTCTTTTCACAGCCTAATTCCTTTCTTGCCATTCTTCTGCAACTGCCAATTCCGAAGACTCGACACAGTTCAATTCCTCTGCTCCCAAGCTCATATCCTGGCAGGCTGGCGTCTCGAAACCCGACTAGACTCTTCTCAACTGAACTCTTCTTTATAATTACTTTGCAGGACCACGCAGAAAACATAGCCTTTCTGTTGCTCTGAAGGCGTGTTTAGAGAGCCGTTGCGTAGCAACGGAAGTTGCTCGATGGTTGCTTACGTATTCGTTGCCGTGGGAATTTGTTTACAGGTTTTTGTCTAACAATGAACTTCTATTCGTTATTCCGGCTTCGTCTGTCATGTCACAGTATTTATCTGTGAATATAAACTTTTCAATCGTTTATAAGCTGGCGCGACTCTATTACACCTGGGAATATTTCTTGGTTTTTAAACTTCATTTCATGTCAACTATATATTTCTTCACTGCATTAAGTTGTTGGGCCTAGTTCGCAACATAACCTTCGCCTTCTCATCCCTTTAATGTATGTACATAGTATACAATAGTTAAGAGTCAAGCTTCAACACGGCTTTGTTGCTTGGAATTCAATTACGTCTACTGATGCAAAATTTGCGGCCCTCTTTTTAATCTTTTCTTTCCTCGAGTTTATTACAGATATTCTCTTGCTTTGGAGTAAATAAAATTACACACTGTGAGCATGAGGAGGAATTACTTCTATGCACTGTTCCTTTGTCAATTTTTCCTTGGTTCTAAATTCTATCCTTCTCTTTTGGAAACTGTTGATTTCCGAGTTCATACTCGGTACATCAGAGATTTTGCATTGTTCAATATCCAGTCTTCAAGTAATAATTGTCGCTCTGCTAGATGTGCTTCAGCTGCTAATGTTTTGAAGGTATGGTCACGTAATTGGAATTGAACTGTTTCTTCGTAACCGTACTTCATAATGGTATTTTCTTTTGCTAACATAATGTCACGTGTTAGTGACTATACACCGTATTTGGATTGATTGCTGAATTTATTGAACACGTCTGACTTAATAACTATAGCACTGTAACTAATTTGAATGTTTCTGTTTAAGAAAACATCTATATTAATCTTACAAATATACAGTATCTGTCAATGTTACTTCTTTTGTGAATGTGTAATGACGTTTTGTATTTTTCGTTCCTTCTTCGGCAATTTTTATTAAGTGTGATCTAGTGGTCAGAGTTCCTGACTACAGATCCAGATGTCTCGGGTTGATTCCCGGCGCTACCAGATTTTCTGAGAAGTGTTGGGTCTCAAACGGGGTCCACTCAGCCTCGTGAGGAAAATTAAGGAGATATTTCAAGGTAATAGCGGCTCCGGTCTAGAAAACCGAGATTAACGGCCGTTGGAATCCGTTGCGCTGACCACGCGAATGATCAGCGTCACTCTGCCCGCAGAAGTTGGCACTAACTTCGCCGACAAGCGGCGACCGCTCGGTCGTTATAGTTCACTTGTGGACTACAGGCCACGGAGTCTGTGTTTTGTTTTTAAATTACTTTTCAAATGTTATTTTAATAGTTTTATTTGGTTACATTGTATTTGGTCGTACAAATGTGTGTGCTGGAGTACAGCTTTCATCAGTATTTGAAAATATGAGAGCTGTTCTTTTTAATAATCTGCGATACACTTTCTTATATGCAGGATTATATATAGAACTTCATATTCTATGAGGAATATGGGAGCCACGAAACCTTATATAATATTACTTGGCCGTCAGTAACATTTCGCTTACAAACTGCGCATACATAACCCAGCTCTCTTTTTATAGCATTTAGGCGCTTTCTGCAAGAAGTGCTGGATGTGTAGTCACGTGACTCACGTGGCAATAAGAAGCTTGTGTGGCTGTCAGCACGGACTGAATTTCAGATTTCTTCTGAAACAGATCTCACTCATCTGCAACGAAAATTATTCGGTACTATTAAAGTATTACTTTCTTTTCTACTGATCTATAATCCTTAGACAATTAATGTTCTGTACATTGGTCCAAACGTAATTACAGCCTTTTGTATCAATCGCCATCATATTTCTAATTTTCGGATTGAGCAGTTAATATCAACATGGGTTCAGATCTTATTGCTGGCGTACTACTGCCATGTAAGCTGATTTGAACCCACTCTTGATAATATAAAATTTTTCTTTATGGTAGGAACCCTCTCCAGTTTCCCGTCTAGAAAATAATTCATCTTTAGTTCGCAATAAGCCCTTGACGCTCTCGAAGGACTACGAACATGAGAGTGGACTAAATGGAGCATATATTGCCTACAAGTAGCGCTACACGAACCAGTCAATATTTTCAGCAGTCACAGAGACAGGAAATGAACGCAGGTGTTGCTTCGCTGTTATTCTGGGGACTCAAACGCTCCACTGGGTAGATACATGATTACCTTGTTATTGGCTTTCTGCAGAGTTGTTATCGCGTGTTGCAGTACATGGTTCCGTGACGCTTCGGAAGTTGTGGACTACTTTCTAGATTAATAATAACAGGTGTGAAATCTCAAACTGTCTTGCCCTATATCCGTTACAGAAGCAGATTACAGAAGTTTGTTGAAAGTTCAACTTATTCCACTGTGTTTAACCAAAATGCTGAATTTGAGAGAGTTGTTGCATTTACTGAAGGAATGGTGTGAGAGTTCCAAAATCTTAGAAAGTCAAGTTCGAAACATTAATTTGTTTAACATTTTGAAAC